ACATCAATGTGCACCCGAATTTAAGAATATGATTTACTTAAAACGTGCCCAAAAAGTCTAAACGCGTTATTATTTTGAGGAAGGCCATGAAATTCACTAAAACGGCCTGTCCTGAATTCTAAATATTTATTATGGTTAATTATTGAGGGCCCCGCAATTTACATTTTTATTTGGCGAGGCTCGTCTCATTATTTTAGAAGGAACATCCTAAAGCGACTACATTTCTAATGTGTTTGTCTCTAAAATAGAAGAAAAGATGCATGCTAATTCAATTATATGCTTTGGCTAAATCCANTCGAATCCAGATTTTAGTTAATCGTCTGATTAATTATTTACAGAGTGAAGAAACGGTGTACCTTATGAAACATGCTTTTAACTTGATAGAAGAATTATATACAAGATTGATGAAATGCTACGACTGCTGCAAGAGCTCCCTAANTGTGTTAGGCCTCTCTTTATCTATTTCTGTCCGTGTGTTTTCAGACAACTCCCTTTTCCTGTTTTCTTATCAATGCCCCTTATCAGTGTATTCCCCTCCCTTTATTATCAATGTCTATTCAATGTCTATCCCCCTCTATGAGATGTCCTCTCCTTTTATTCAGCCTCAAATCATCCCTTTAAAACAGCCTGTTTAGACCATTCGAACACTCTCCCATGTGCTGCCCCTTTTCAGTTCCACTTAGCTACTTAAGTATTAGAAAAATCCCCATCATATTCTCTTGGCAGGCTTACCTTTAGTGATGTTTATTATTTCTGAAACTAAAGTAGGGTATGGGCAGTAGAATATATCTGACAGCATATGTTGTCACACCATTTTTAAATCAAAAGCCCTTTATGCAGGGACCAGGCTGTGCACAAATGCACCTGTGGTGCACAAATGCACATGTTGTGCACAAGTGCACATGCCCTCAAATTCAGAACTGTGACTGAACAGAACATTGATTTTTTACATTTCTGATTACCAATTATAAACACTAAACTCAGTTCCTAAGTGATTCAAGCCATGCTTATCAAAAGTAAATCGATTTGTTATTGTGCAGGTAGCTGAAACTAATTGACGACACATGTCGACTCGACTATATTAGTTATAATACATACAATCGACACCAAAATCAGACATTTAAGAGTATAGGATACATGATTCGAATTGTACTGACTAAACAAAACTGTACTCGAGGAATCAGTTAATCAGTACGAATTTGGAATTCAACTAATTGCACAACAAATACATATATACACACCATCAGAACAAGTAGAAGAAGACACTCAATCAAACAACAAAGGTTCAGGCAAAGTGGACAGGGCACAGTTGATAAAATTCAAAGACACAAAATCAAAACATGAACAGACCTTTACCATAATCAGATGGACCGAAACAAATAAAGAAAAGAAAGAACTCACCTTAAACCTTGAAAAATCAAAACCTTTCTTGGATTCGAACAGACCTTTCTTAAGGCTGAACGGACTTTAATCGAAGTGTTTCTCAGATGAGAAACACTTTGATTAAGGTCCATTAGACCTTAATCTCTTCGGTTTGAACAAGACACGGACCAGTGACGAGGAACCCTAAGGTTCAAAAACTAGATCCGGGATTCATGCTTCCCTGGTCAGATTCGGACCAAACCAAGTATGGTTTGGTCACGAGGGGGGTCTGGGGAGTGTCTGGTATGAATTTAGGGCAGATCGGNTAATTCCTTAAATTAATTTGCCAAATAATACCATGTAAACATTGGACAACAATTATCACACAATTAACATTTAATTATACTAAACACTTAATGACAAAATACAATGAAGGACGCACATATTTTATTTTTCTTTTAATAAACAGATTACGGTCCACACGACATATAGACATATTTTTTTAATATATTTTTTTGAATAAAACAACCACGGGCAAAATCACAAATAACTAGCAAAAAAAATGCCACGTAAAATCCAGCAAATGTACAGCAAGACCAATTGCTATTATTTTGTTTCTTTTGGAGTGATTGTCGCGTAAAACAAAAATCATGTGCTCACACTCCTTTATTAGTATTCCTTCAATTAAAAAATCGACGTAATTACCCTCATCGTTCCACTTGCCAGAATGACGCAACAACACTGTTAAACTTGCCATATGTATAATGGAACTATACCGTATTTTGCATACAATTGTATCAATCGTAATTTTCCGTGGTTGAATTGATAACTGCGAACAGAGAAAAGGGAGAAGTGAATGGAAGAACTGCGAACAGATGTTGCTCTTGTTTTCGCTAATTTTTTTTTGTTGAATCTTGAATGGAAGAATACAAATTAATGGGTAATAGTTTTTGTTCGTTGAGTTAAATTAGGAGATATCAGGTGATTTGATTTCCTTTCCGTTTTTAACTAGTTCAACCTTCCAGGTTTTACGCAAATACGTTACTGTATTTACGATAGGGCCGCGTGAATACAGTCAAATACATATCAACCTTAGCTGGAATTCCCTTTTTAACGCCTATTTTTGTTATTGTATTAATGAATACAATAGTTTAAATACATCAAATACATTATATAACCACATAAAAGGTATTTATAACACGTAATATAAACAAAAGGTATCTATAAATGGCTAATTAGACCTAAAAATAGTGCTTTATGAACAATTCTCTTTAAGGAATAGGATTTTGGACCCATAAATAACCATTCAAGTTCCATTTATTTTCAGTCATACCCTTCCTGCTTCTCTCTGGTTTATATATTTGGCATTTGCCTCTTTAAAAATCACCATTTTAAACAGTTTCATCTGATAACACTAAATTTCCCCATTCCTTGTACAACTTCTAGGTTTGTTAAAAAGCCCTTTACTCCATTTCAGTATTAGGTTCACAAACCTAAATAATTTTCAGGTATTTCGGTTTTACTTCATTACATATTCCGTATTATAAACTACATTTTCAAGAAGTTTTTATTTCCTTCTACTGCATGTTTTTATTTTCTATTAGTACATTCTATTGCATGTTTTACTGAAGTTTTAATCATGAATTTTCCTGACTAATCCTGATACGTTATGTTGATGTCATTTAAATGAACATCAGACGATAACAAGTTCAGAAGTGATAAAAGAGGATAATACTTCAAAGTACTGAAAGTAACAATATAACCTGTATTTAGCAGCTAAGATCATGTAGAAACCTTTTCTGCAATTTCAACTATAAGTAATTTGTTTATACAGTGAATAGTCAGCTCCAAGTCATTATGACACTGAAGTTCAACGGAAGGCATGGTCGTAGTCGTGGAAATGGAAATTTTTGTATATAAAGTGAGATAACCACCTCGAGGCCACGAAGCATAGTAATGCAACGGAGACCAAAGAATACCTCGTGACCATAGACAACGTACCCTGCTTGGCTGCAGCAACAACTCCGATCATACCAATTGAGGCGATCTGCAGTATAATTTCAAGGGCATTGAGACCTTTATATGCGAAATTGCAACTTGTGCAATTCACCGTATGAGTCCAGTACCTGAATGTAAGCATAAACATATTATCTTTACTGCTAGCTAATTCAACGTCTTCGTCTCAAAAAGGTGATCTCAAAAAGGTTCTTGAAAGTCTATGTGAACAATGTAGTAAAAGCATTCCTAAGATAGTTTTATAGGACTAAAACTCGTGTAAAACTAAAATCAAGAATCTACGTTAGAAATGTGGGAACGAACCTGTCCAGCAGCTGCTCCCTTGGAGGAGTTGGTGGGAGGTCTCCGTTGTACTTTGCGCGCCAATCAACTTGGCCACCTGCATATTTGTTTAGCCACCTTCTGAAAGCAACAACAATGGCATCTGCCTTGGTTGGCATATAACAAGCTTTATGCCAATTATAGGGACCAATTTCCTTTAGCTTGTGCTCCTTCATAACAGAAAAAAAATTGAATGAGAAAGGAAGAATCGACATATTGTACAAGGCAATGTTTCATCTAAAAGCACCAGAAATTCACCTTGATCTAACTTACACATCGAACACCTAGGCTAATTTGTCATACATGCCCATAATAACCAACTCAGAGACTCACCTCACTCAATTGGTCAGTTCTACTTCAAATATAAAGCCAAAGAATTAAAGCATCTTGTGAATAGTAGTTGAACAGTTTCTTTTATCCCAAATCCTTGATTGTCATCTCCGAGACTTTAAGTCACGTTCACCTTGTCTGGACATGCTCGGTCTCGTCCCTTCTAATTTCTCATCAAAAGAGCGCAGCCTATGCTAATTCAAGGATAAGTCGGCTATCAAGGAACCCCCTCCGAACAGATACTATTTACATTTGAATCAGGAAGAAGAATAGCAGATATATATAATATAACAGATAACCTTGTAGATGCACCTCCAATCTTCATGGAGAACTTGTCTTTGCTCCTACCTTTAAGTACTTAATGTACTGATTTTTTTTTCCTTCTACTTCTTTTTCGTGTTAAATAATTTAATTGTAATAGTTCACCTATCTAATCTCCCATCAATTAGTTTGTCTCAATTCTTTATCCCATGACCTACACTAAAAACATGCAATATACAACAACAACAAGAACGACCCAGTAAAATCCCACAAAGTGGGGTCTGGGGAGGGTAGTGTGTACACAGACCTTATGAACATGCAATATATGAACATATTTTTTGATAACAAATAGTCCACTGTGAACAAGTCTTTAACAATTGATTTCTCTAATATCCGGACACTGGTATCAACATAGTATGCATCTTTACGGATTCCAGCATGGGTAAATCATTCAGTCCTAATTCCTAATCTGAAATTACATTCAATCTGCCTCAGACAGAGGCTAAAAGTCACAAATACTGAAAACAGTACAGGTGGATTCCAGTATTAGTTTTGGTCTGAAAACCAACCAACATTAGAATATAAGCACTTAGATATTCACAAATCCATATAAATACTATAATTCCTTTAGTCATTACTCCTAATATGATGAAGCTAGAACTCCTAATAAGGTATCAACTTTCAAAGGAAGAATTAAGATTTAACAAGAAGTCAAGAACACAACAGAAACCGAAAAAATAAAATAAAGAAAGCGGATTACCTCCACATGAAGAAGATATAAATCTGAATCCAAAATTAGGTTTTGCCCCAGGTGAAATATCCAACGTGGAATTATTCGATCTGCCCAAGTAGCAAAGTTTCTTGGAGATGCAAAAATAATTCTGCTATGACCTGGACTAACTGGAATACAGATGAAAACTAATAATGCTTTTTTCTGCTTCTCAGTTGAAGGTTTTTCCTGCATGGAATATATATATTTAAAGCGGCTGCAAAGAGTACCAAATAAATGCTGAAAAAGACTTAGCATATGAAGCACAAGCACCATAAAATCAAATTACCTGTACAGCTCCAGATGATACAGCAGACGTTTTACCCTGATTTCCTCCGAAAGCAAAAAGACTATAATACACACAAGGTGCAATGAATGTGTTCCGTCCAGGTCCTTGGTTTGCAGTAATACTATTTACATCCAGTTTCGTGACAGTTATATCGAGTGGTCTTCCTCCTTCCCTATCAGCCTTCACAGTGCAAGAACTATGCTGTTAGTCGGGTGAAGTTACTACACATGCAAATAAAAGAATATAGAATAAAATATGAAAGGAATTGTATAAGCTTCTTATCTTTTGGGAGGTTGTGGAACATTCATTATGCCATAATGTGAATATTGGACATGAGCTGGGTCCATAAGGTTTTCAATCAGAAGCTCATACCTGAAATTTATCAGATTCGTTACAGATTATAACTAAAATAGGAAAGTAAGCGAGTTTTACAACATTATTGACCTATGTTTTGACATCAATTCAGAGGAAGCAGGCTTGTTTTCCTTCATTACACGCCTTTCAGATTCTAAAGGTGTCAACCCTTTCCCCCTCCAAGAAAAAAAGAAAAAAAAACAACCAGCTTTTTCTATTACAAAAAATTGCACGAGTTTCTTCACAAAGATAGTGGGATGTCTGTGTCTGCTTACCCATATGATATATCTCTGACCATGAAAGATTTCGAAAACGAGCTGTCGTCCAGTTCAGGGATGTAAGGAGGCCTTTTCTTCAGATATATGCCCTTGTATAGAGGATCAGAATTTGGCCAAAACCAAAGAATATCATTTTGCACACAACTTGGATAAACAGTTGCACAAGCTCTTTTGGACGTGTGAACCTGCGCAGCTAATACAAAAATGTCATTCCCAACTACCTTGAGAAAAGCTAATGCGAAACTGTTGTCAAATACAAGGGCTTAGCTATAACCAATTCCAAGAAGTACATAACACAAACTTCACGTGTTTAGAAAATGAAGATTTACATTCCCAAGGAAAGAGGTGAAAAAACTTAAGAGAGCTCTCGACATCTTTCATCAGACAATAAAATAAAAGAAAGTCTGTACCAGTTCTTACGGACTCCCGATCACCATCATAAAGGACCAAGGCCACACGGGTGAAGGTGGTAAATTATCCGTTCACTTTTAATCTGTGAACCCAATTGCTTATTCTTCAAATAGATGTCACGGTAAATGATGCATAAAATGTAGGATCTCAAAATGCAAAATACTTGGTTCTTTACCAATAAGTTTCCTACAAGAAATTCAGAATAGCAGACAGAGAAAAAGCAAATGGTTGAACTATACCTTGAGCTACGAGGACAATAGTGTATTATGTGTTCTACTATTAGAATTGGCATTAATATCTGAGCATACTGATTCAACTATTTCATCCATAATTCTCTCTAGTTATTTGTTTTTATTTTTAACAAAATGGAGTCTCCGGCAAACATCTTCCAGTCAACAAATCAGTCTGTCATTATAGTTCTTGAACCAATGGGCAGAAGAACTGCCAATAAATTACGTCTCAATCCCAAAATAATTGTGGTCAGCTATATGAGTCCTCATATTCATTCCACTCCATTTAGGTCCGCTTCATTCCTATACTAAATCATTTCTCTTTTGCTGCATATTGGGGATCACTACATGTTGCGGCCAAACGCACGCGCAAGTATACGCGGTCGTCAAGTAATAAAGTGACTAAAAGTCGGATATCGAACCCACAAGGACTTGTGATTAACTATCTACTAAATTAGACTATCCTAATTATCTAAACAAGAATTAAACCTAGAAATACTTGATTCTAAACTAATCAAAATAAAGGAAAATAAATGGTAAACTCTGAACAAGGGAAAAACAGATTTTTATGATATCAATGTAATACATACTTTAAGCCGATTATCACTACAAAACTAGAAGTTCAGTGAATTTCACACTTATCCCTACACACGCATACAAGGGGATTGAAGAACTATAAACAAGAAAAAAGCAAGCCCACCATCTCAAATTAGTCGTCATTGGCATAATCATGAGAACTAATTTCTTGCACATTCTCTCAAGTCTTTTGAAATGGAGTTAGCAAGTGCAACATCAATTAGTTTTGAGGTAACAGAATACTAATTCTATATGCAGAATCCTATCTAGGGTCAAACTGAATGTGGTTTTTTTCCTTCAGAAAATTCCGGAATGAAAAGATCATTCTAGTAGTCGATCTCCTGAAAGTCACAAGAACCTTAATCCTTAATATTCTGTAGACAATCAATATTATCTTTCCTTCTTACGAGGAGCCTTGGCAGAACTAGAATAGCCAACAACTCAATTCTTCCACATATGTGCATAAGGCATATCAGAATATGCACCTTAGTGTTCTTCCCTTCTTCATGAATAACCTTTTAATAGATGCTCACAGCTTTTCCAAATAAACAGCTATTTTCGCAATGTTTGCCACTTCCTATAAAGCTGGACTTTCCTGATTGAATCAAGATTATCAACTGCTTTTGAGAAGCCAAAAGTATTCTTTACATCTCAAATTCCAGCTTCTTAAACAGAACACTCAAAATTGATCACCAAACAATTTGTCAAGAACGAGAATTCACTTTCAAATTCTTGATGATACGGCTCGTCCCTCTATGTGAAGCTAGTTTACATGTTCTCACACATAAATACCACAATTTGGAAAATGAAATTGACATTTATAGAACTAAAATGTCGACTTCTTGTTATCTGTGAAAAAAGTTGGGTCTACAAGCAACATTAGCATCTCTACTAATCTCCTCACTTTGAGCCCAAGTTAATCAACGCCAAAATTCTTTGTTTTTTGCCAGTACTTTTAAGTGACATGTGATATGATCATTACCACTTAAAGACAGTCTATAAAGAACATAACAAAGAGAATAAACTAGGAAAATGTCCAAATTTGCCCATGTACTATCCGAAATTGCTCAATTTTTCAACTCTATTTCCCCCTTGCGATGCGGCGCTTCCTGGACCTTATATGAACGCGGAATGCTTTGTGCATCGGCTGCCCTTTTATTTCTACCTTTGTTGTTAGTAAATTGCCTTGTATTTGCCGTTGCCATTAAGGCAGATCCGACGTGAAATGCATGACTCCACGTGTCCAAATTCTTAGAGAAAAAAGGTCCAAATTTTGACCCCAAAAACTTTTGACTATAGTTTAAAATTATCCTCAGGTTGGAGCTATGTTAGGGGTCAAGAGCAAAAACAAAATCTTTTCTCCAAAGAGTAGGGTAATATTAGACCAAACGTTTAACGGATGATAAAGTTGCTCAATTTACGACATTACATGGCAAATTTGCCCATTTTCCCACTAAACAAATTGGTTTTGANAGTTAAAGGCACTAGTGGTTTCTTGGATTAATTACCGGAGGGCCATCCCTAGGAGCTTGAGGAATGAACTTGCAATCACCAGAACCACCAAAACACCAACCATGATACACACACTGCAATCTCCCCCACTGATCAATCCTTCCTTCAGAAAGTGGAGCATATCTATGTGGACAAGCATCATCCATCACTTTCCATTCTTTCTCATTTCTATCCCACCAAACCACCACATCTATTCCCATCACTTTTTTCCCATGTGGCCTCCTCTTATCAAGATCACAAATTGGCATTATTGGATACCACTCAGCATACCAATCAAATTTCTCTTCTTGGTTTTCATTTTCAGTTTCTTCATCAAATGGGGTTCTTGATTCAGTTGAGATACTTTGAGAAACAGCAGTGAAAAGCTTGAATTTTGTATTTTGGCTCTGAATTGAGGGAAAACATGAAATGGGGTTTTCATTATTTGGATGAATATTCAAGTTTGGTTTGTCATATATGGTTTTGGGAAATGATCTAGTTGAGTAGTTCAAGTTGAGTACTTGAAATGGTGTAAATGAAGAAGCTTTGAAAGCTTGCATGGCTGATTCTTGAAATTGTTTAATTAAATTAAAACTCAGTCTGTTATTGCAAATGCAGAACAAATTAAAGTGGTGACTGACAGAAGTAGAAATGTACTTTGTGGCTTTCAACAAAACAACACATTCATGTTGTTTGTTATACTCATACTAGATAAGTGTGTCATCTTCTCAAATTAATCTATGGCCAGAAGTTTTAACTGAAAAAACAAAAAACAAAACATGCAAAAAGAATGGATCACACACTTGTCCTCGCTAGGCCACGCCGGCAAGCTCCATAAGGAAAAAAAAACAATGACAATAACCAAGAATTCTAACTTAATAATAAATCCTAGTAAAATCAAATTATTGTAGCATGCACAATAATTTTTAATAATCTTTTTAAATGTTCCACTATAATAACAACTTCAAACGTTTCCATGAAGTAACTAAACGTGTAAAGAGAAAATATGAGAATAAGAAACTTTTTTTTCAGTTGAATGCAAGACTAAGGATGAATTGCACAAGTAGTCGTTTTCAAGACCTATTTAAATAATCTCCACAGCTGAATTTTGAGGTTTTGACACAGTTAACCATAAAAATAAAATTATTTATTCTTGTCTATTCATTTATTTTTCTATCCATAAACTAATTACATTTTCTACTTATGGTAGTTTTTGTGGGAAATTTTTTCTTTATTCTCCAATTCTTTTTTATTTCTATGCATTTTTTTTTATTTTTTCTTTTCTCCTTTTCTTGTTTCTCGTTTTCTTCTTATTTTTTTCTTTTTTCCTTTTCTAATTTCATTTAACTTCTTTTTTTATATTCTTTTTCTTTTAATAATCTAATTTCATTTACTGTTTTCAGTAAAAAAATTTATACTATTACTAAAGAAAAATCAAATTGTGTATCAATTAAATGTAGCTAATACAATCAAAAAATAACTAACATATGATACTATTATAGTATATAGCTATACCAACAGGGTATATAATTGTACGCAAAGAGGTAAAAAAAAATTTAATTCAATTATTAAACTGAAATAATATCAGTTGTCAATAAAAATTTCAAAAAATTCTAAAAGGATCTAATTGTAATAGTATACCGTTACATTATATAGCATACTAAATTTTTTTTTATTTTTTTTGCATTTTCAATTTGTCCCTCACGCTGGATAAAATTTTAAAGCAAATTAAAAGGGAAAAGGAAAATGAATTTACGTGTAATAAGTATACTATTATAGTATATTGTATACTATTACATCATATTGTCACAGTATTGTAAGCACGTGATTTTTGCCCTACATGAGAATTACTCCCAAAAAATTCAAAAATCAAATGATTTTCCTTGGTGTGCAATTTTGTGAGATTTTGTGATATTTTTGGATAATTNTCCTTCTTCATTTTTGTCCAACACAAAACAAAACACAAACCAAAAAAAACCCTAAAAACTAAGAAAACACCTGCCTCCCCCACCTTTGGCTTCTTCTCCATCTCCATTTTACATAGCCATGGCTGCCCTCAAACCCCACCTCCCATGGCTGTGCATGGCTTCTTCTTCGTTCACCCAGACCACCCTCATCACCCCCCACGACCTAGCTGCCCAGCTTCCCGTCCAAACACCACCAAACGACACAGCCCCTTCGCACGACCAAACGACCATTATCATTGCTGCCAATGTTGCATCGCCTGCTTCTTTAGCCCGTGTTGCTGCTAGTTCTTCTTCATTCCAGTTGCTTCGACTGCATCTGCTGCCTCAACGACGTCCAACCATCTCCTTGAGTCTAAACCAAACCTGCTACTGCTGTCACTGCCCTCGTCGTCCAGCCCGTTCCGCCATGGAC